TATAAAATTGGAGTTGCTTTGTACTTCAGTGGTGGTAGAACTCACCAATGAAGCCATATTCTTTCTTTAGTAGTAATGATACTTACTACTCATATTTTCTGTTTCTTCTTCTGTCAGTTATAGCAAGTTGTCCTGTTCATTTATATTTTCAGTTTGTTTTAGTATAAGCTTGATCATTATATCTTTTTATTATCTCTTTATTGACCTTAGGACCTACAGTGATATCCTTAAAATAAATGATACTGCTTATTTGTGCCTTCCCTCTTTTTTTCTCCTTTGCCAGTCTCACAAGAGGTTTATAATTTTATTATTTTTTCAAAAAACAGAATTTTATCTTTTGAGCTTTTAAAATTGTATGTTTGTTTTCTTTTTTCTTTTTTTGCCATGCTATGCACAGCTTGCCGGGTCTTAGTTCCCAGACCAGGGATTGAACCCACACCCTTGGCAGTGAAAGCTCAGAGTCCTAACCACTGGACCACCAGGGAATTCCCATATGTTTGTTTTCTATTTCATTAATTTTACTCCTACTCTTATTATTTTCTTCCTTATATTTCCTCTGGGTCTATTTTGGTGAATTTTCCTACATTCGTAAGATAGATGATTTATTCATTGACTTAAAGGAAAAGAAGAAAAATTCTTCTTTCTAGTGTTAGTTTGTATCCCGCACATTTGATATAATTTCATTATCATTCAGTACAATTATTTTCTACTTTCATGTATTTTCTTCTTTGACCATAAGTTATTAAGAAACATATTTCCTAATTTCCAAATATATGGTAATTTTCTAGTTATACTCTTGCTCTTGAGTTCTAGCATAATTGCATTGTGATCAGAGAAACCAGACTATATGAGCTCAATCTTTTGAAAGCTTTTTATTTAAAAATTTTTTTTATTTTTGACTGCGTTGGGTTTTTGTTGCTGCACGTGGGCTTTCTCTAATTGTGGCGAGCGGGGGCTACTCTTCGTCGTGGTGCGCGGGCTTCTCATTGCTGTGGCTTCTCTTGTTGCAGAGCACGGGCTCTTGAGCTCAGGCTAAGTAGTTGTGGCGCACGGGCTTAGTTGCCCCGCAACATGTGGGATCTTCCCAGACCAGGGCTTGAACCTGCATCCCCTGCATTGGCAGGCGGATTCTTAACCTCTGTGCCACCAGGGAAGCCTCCTCAATCTTTTGAAAGTTTTGAAGCCTGTTTTATGGCCTGGCGTATGGTCAACTTTTATAACTGCTTCACATGTGCTTGAAAAGACTGTTTACTCTGGGGTGGTAGGATAAAGTGACCTACCTGTGTTACTCATGTTGTTCCAGTTATGCAGGTCATTCCTTATTTTTGCCTGCTTCAATTACTGGAATTAAGAGTGATAAAATTCCCCACTACGGCTGTGGATTTATCTATTTGTTTGGTAGTTCTGACTTTTTGGAATACATACTTTGAGGCCATATTGTAAATGCATAGAAATTCAGAATTATTATATCATCTTATTGAACTAAAACATTTATCACTTGAAATGTCCCTGTTTAACTCTACTAGTGCTTTTTGCCTTAAAGTTTATTTAGGTTTTATTAATATAGTCTCACCAGCTTTCTTTTAGTACTGTTTCCATAGAATGCCTTTGTCCACTCTTTTACTTCCAAACTTTCTGTGTCATTGTGTTTTAGGCATGTCTTTTGCAAACAAAAGTCTAGTCTGACGATCTTTGATTATTAACTGGAGCATTTAATCTGCATACATTATTACAGTTACTGATATATTTGGACAAAAGAAGCCTCCATCCACCTTAACATTCTATACGCGTGGAATTGCACTTTAAAAATGTTAACCAAACCAGCCCTGTTGAGGATAATGCATTCTTAAAATGCAACTGCAGAGAAACGAAGCATGTGTTTTTCAGGTTTCCAAAAGCGAGGAGGTTGGCCCCTAAACAGGACCATCTCCTTTCAATCAAATACAATTGAAAAGCTGCAGAAAACACTGGTAGATCTGCATATAAAATGAGGTATATTCAGATGATGATAAAAGAACTGTAGTTGCCAGAAGCCCTGTAGTTCACCCAAGATGATCCTAGAAGAGCAGAACTGCTTTATTTCCTGCCAAAATATTTTTGTTTTCCTGTTTCCCCAGCAGACCCAGGCTTGTGGTCCCTTTTGGCACTGTGGATGCAGAAGGAAGAGGCAAAGTCCTTTCTGTATATGGATGTACAGATTTGTCCAAATGAAATGAGGAAGCAAATTTAAGCTGCATGTTTGTTTGGTTGAGAAGGAATACATTTTTTCTCATCATAATCACAAACTAAAGCCATTAAAAAGGTATTACCAGTTTCTGGGGGGAAAAAGTGGGAGATGTTGCTTGGCAAAATTAAACTTCCATTAAATTATGCTCAACACAAGCCCTGAAAGTAGAGAAGTTTTTACCATTTATATTTAATTTAGTTCAGTAAAGCGGAGACACATTTTCTCTAGCATGGCTAAATATATTAAACACACTTATTCTCGTTATCCTAAATTTTCACCTGTGCCTAAAGCTATGAGATAATGTAACCATTTCTTTGACATCTTGATGTGGGAAGTAAGCACCTTTATTTTATATAGAACCCTGCTGGCTTCTCTGCCCCAACTTGGGCATCCAAGGCTACAAGCGGTGACATCACAGCACTAAGCTGCTCACTTTCTCCAAGAGCTCAAACTGTATTTCCCAATTAGGAAATGATGTTTCTCTCACTTCATGGTGATAGAGGGGGAAGTTACAACTTCTAAAGAGCAAATAACTCAGCTTTGAGTCATACAGTCATTGGTCCCCTGGGGAAGAAATTCCAGAAGCTCTGACTCTCTGGATGTAATTTAAGTCTTTACAATCTCAGAACCTGTACCTCTAAAGAACCCACAAGACCCTCTGCTCCAGACTTATTTTGTTCCCATCCTACAGATGAGACAGTTGATGCCCAGAGACATTAAATAATTTGTCCAAGGTCATAAGACTATGGAACAATTACCAGTGTTCCTCAATGTTTAAATCATGTTTCCTCAAGCTCAGAACATACATGAGAATGAAGATTCTAGAATCCACCCCAATATGAAGCAAGTTTCATTTTAATGGCAACTTACCCTGCAGCAGCCTGTACCATCATCTTACTGATCTCCAGTCTTCACTGGGAATGGGAGACACAGCACCACAACAACTACAAAATCACATTCACAGTTTTTAAGGAGCACAAAGCCCCTCACTCAACTCTCTCCTTAACTTTCAGGGTCTATTGATGGGTGAGGTAGGCTTGTAATGTCTTTTGCAGACCAGAGCTTGACAGAGATTGAAAGCATCTGTCAAAAGAACCCAGGCCTCCCGTTTTGCCAGTGAGGACAGCCGCCAGATTTTGCTGTTAATAGGCTCCCATGCAGGCAGTTATTTTAGCAGTGATTCTGTGGGTCTTCTGTGGCACATCTTGATTTAAAGTGAAATGTCAAAAAGCACTTCTCAACCACTCAAAGCTTCCAGGGTTTCTCACTTTTAACTGATTGGACAGAAAGGAAGGCAGCCTTCAAAACTGTTCTATGGACGTACAACTAGATTATTCAGTCTCTTCAAATTCAGAAAATAATTCGGAGAGATGGTGACTGAGGAATCTGATTTCTGGCTAAGAAATACTTTCCCCTAAGGTCAGATGGAATTGGAAAGAGAGTTTATGGGAAAAATGCCACTATGACCTTAAATGTGAAATCTTTGGGTTGACACCATAATGAGGAATAGAGTGCTATTAAAATATATTGCAGATTTTAATAACTCCACTAGCAGTAGACCAAAAAAAAAAAAAAAAAGGCTTAAGCTCAGAATAATTCTGGGAAGAAGGGTTTTGCCAAGGAGATTTTAATGTCAAGAATGTATGTGAGGCTAAAAATAAGGAGCTCACGCGCATCCCAGAGCCGTGGGTGTGGATGTATATATAATCAAATTAAATTATTCCACTTCCACTTATGGAAAAATCTGATGATAAAAGTTGACTAGAAAACATTTAGTCATATTTCACTTGGATTATGCTTATATATACCAAACTCTGGACTTGTCAAAATAAGCCTCACCAGTGCTTCCCAGCCAAGGTGTTAGATAGACAATGGGTGCAACATGCAAAAATGATAAAGATCTTACAGCAACATCATGCCTGGAAAAGCCACAGGAATTCACCTCCCAACTAAAGAGAGAGAAGTGTCCCTGAGGTATAAGGAATGGAGCCCAGAGTGGCCTAAATGCAGAATGCAAAGGCAGGAGCCTTCAGAGAGCCGAAAAGCCATGTGTTGAGACCCAGGTCCGAACTCTCAGAGCCTGGAGGTCAGGGACCATGACTTTTTGTACTATTTCTTTTCCTACCAGAGAAAGTACCCCTCAATTTCAACCTTGCTCTGGAGGGCCAGCATTTGTGTACTTTCTACAAATCATTTGTTGATACAATGAGACTGTGAGGTTGGCTGCTGCCAACACATCCATCTGCCAACCAAGGCCATCTGCAGAGGAGACACAAAGCTTCAATGCCTGGAAGTGAATTTGTTGGCATTTCAAGACAAACATCTCTTTGGCTACAACTACTGAAACTTAAATCCAAAAATGGGAGGAAAATCTAGGCCCAGGTAAGACTTTTATTTACTTCTTAAACTGTAATTATAAGACACATGTACCATGCTTCTTTAGTCCCTTCTGCTTGCCCAAGCCTAGGCCCTAGGCCAGTGAAGTCTCTGTCCATTGATTCTGGTGCTGACCAGTGGGACGGACAGCTGGGAGTGGTGGGGAAAGACGGGGCATCTTTCCTGGCTGGTGTGAATAGTATGTGACTTCATATTGGCTAGAACTTGCCAATGCAGGTGACACACACTCATTAGGGTGTTTTCCTTGTGCATCCCCCAAGTGATGAAAAGTGCAGGGTGGAGAAGTTGGCTCAGGCTTCGTGCACATGCCCAGGGTGCTGATGGGGACCCAGGAGAGCTGATGGGGCTCAGCCTAGCAATACCACTGCCTCAGGGTCTACATGAATTCTGGCTTGGACAGAATCTGCATCTCATGCCTCTCAGTTCTCTCCTGACATGTCATTCTGGAATCCCGTGATCTTTGCTCCCTAGAGAAAGAACAGAGCAGAGAGGAAAAATAATTTGACCTGATGAAAAGGGAAGTAGGGATGTTAAGAGCTAACAGTTATGGAGAATGTATTAAGAATCAGACATTATGCTAAGCACTTTATATGTAATACCCCTCACCTTCCTTCCCCACCACTCACAGCCCTCCTTCCTACTGGTCAGGACCAGAGCCCAATGGACAGAGACATCACTGGCTAAGAGGTAGGCACTGCTATTAGCCCCTTTTTACATGTGAGGAAACAGAGGTTTATGGAAGTTAAATAACTTTCCCTAGGTCACGTGTAGCTGTGAATCAGCAATGGCAGCATCAAACCCAATCCTGAAACCGCTCTACGATTCTATCACGGAGACAAGAGGAAAGGGGAGGGGAGGGGAGGGGAGTGCGGCAACGAGCGAGAGGCCAGAGGCAAGGGGGGGCAGGGGATGGTAGCCATTCTAGTACTTATCAAAGATTTTTAGGATCATTGAGAAATGCTACCATCCATAATTCTAGAAGGACTTGAAAGATCTTGTCAATTGATGGAGGAGAGATCCAGTGGAGGGCATCAAACCCAAACCTGAAACCATTCCACTGCTCTATATCCTATGGATTTTTCCACCTATTCCCTGTAGCTTGTGCAGTAAAACAGCTGAAAAACAGCTGAAAAACAGCAGACTGAGTAGATGTGGGAGGGATCTAATTTCAGCTCTGCAACTAATTATTCATATAATCTCAATAATGTCATGTAACCTTGTGAGCCTGAATTTATCTGTAAAATGATAATAATGCTTCATGTTCTGCTATCACCAAGGCATTGTATTGCGACAACTCATGTAGAGAAGCTTTGAACTAAAAAAAAAGTCTTCTATATGTGACCCGATTAGGATGGTTGCTGTAAGAAGTGATGTAATATAGGAGAAAGCATGAGCCATGGATGAGGCTGGATTTGAATTTGTCATACTAGCGGAACATTTTTGACCCTCCAGTGTCTCATCTATAATCTGCCAGGGAGCTCTGGCATGAGGAAGACACAGGTTGGAGGTGACTGCAGTGGGCATCCCCATGTCTGACCCAGGCAGGAATGCCCCTTACCCACCGGGGAAGCAGATGAAGCTGCTGAAAACACAGTAGATGAGGGGGTTGATGGCGTTATCCAAGGCCGGCAGGTTCTGAATGATCACAGAGGCGTAGGAACGCTCCTTAGTGTTTGGAAGGAGGCTGAAATTGTACAAGATATTGAAGAGGAAGTACGGGCTCCAACAGCAGATGAAGGCTGGGGAGGAAAGAGCCGTTAGCACCATAGCAGCCCACAGCCCAGGGGGCCCTCTGTGTTGGCCCTGATTGCAGCTTCAACTAGGAGCTTCCTTAGCACCTGGAATCTCTCAGAAATATTTATAACAGTTGTGTGTGTGTTAACATTAATGTCATATTTACTTAAACACACACATCTACACATACATACATTACATCCCACAGATGCATTGCTAAAATTGAGTAAATTTGCTGGAGCTTCTCTATTCGTAAAGGGAGGCTCCAATTTGACCACTGTAGGGATTACTGAAAGGCTGGGAACTGTTCAGCATAGCCTTAGCCTCTCATTCTACACAGTGTGAAAGAAAACCCAGCAAATCCCTTTGGAGACTCTATGGGAAAAGACAGAAAAGGGAGCACTTTGCCCCGATGGTGACTCCTGATTTAGGGTAGATGAGGCGAAGTGTGGTACCTAATGTTTCGGAACACAGCCTGGCTAAGTCACAAGATTCTCAATTTTCTTTTCCATTTCTAAGTCAGCCACTCCAGAAAACACCCACCCTATACCTCTTACAAATCAGTTGGTGTGGGTAAGACTCTGTCTGATTTCTGTTTGGATCCAAATCCTCAGAGGAAAGGGATGAGAAATGGAGAGCCAGAGTGTGATGGCCAGTTTTATGTGTCACCTTGACTGGGTCATGGGGTGCCCACATATTTGGTTAAATGTTATTTCTGGTTGTTTCTGTGAGACTGTTTCTGAATGAGATTAACATTTGAATTTGTAAACTAAAAAAAGCAGATTGTCTTCTCCACTATGAGTGGGCATTATTCTATCCACTGAAGTCTTGAATACAATGAAAAGGCTGAGTGGGACTTCCCTGGTGGCTAGTGGTTAAGAATCCACCTGCCAATGCAGGGGACATGAGTTTGATCCCTGGTCCAGGAAGATTCCCCCATGCCACGGACAACTAAGCCTGCGTGCCGCAACTACTGAGCCTGTGCTCTAGAGCCCAGGAGACACAACTACTGAGCCCACGTGCCACAACTACTGAAGCCCACACACCTAGAGCCCATGCTCCACAACAAGAGAAGCCACTGCATTGAGAAGCCCGTGCACTGCAACGAAGAGTAGCCCCCCACTTGCTGCAACTAGAGAAAGTCCGTGCTCAGCAATGGAGACCCAACGCAGCCAAAAATAAATAAATAAATAAATTTTTTTTAAACAGAAAATATCTTCCTAACACTGGTTAGGGGAAAGAATTTAAATAAATAAAAAAGGCTGAGTGAGAGGCAAGTCACTCTGTCTGCTTGACTATCTTCTAGCTTCTTACTTTGACTCAGACTGAAACTATACCTTTAGCTCTCCTGGGTCTATAGATCTGGGGACTTCTCAGCTCCACGATCATGTGAGCCAATTGCTTATAATAATCTCTTTACGTATATATCTATCTTTTATTTCTCTGGAGAACCCAGATTATTACCACAGAGATAATCCTTCTTGGGGTTGACTGGACACACACATGTGCTCCCCTACTTTCTTGCTGCATCCTCTCCACCCTTTTTCTCCCCCTTTCTCACGCATAGATTTTTCCTCAGAGAAGTCAGGCTTCCTTTGCCATCTGGCTGCAGGAACCAACTTTCCTCCGTAACGGTTTGACTGACTTTTTTTTTTTTTTTGCGGTTTGCGGGCTTCTCACTGCTGTGACCCCTCCCGCCGCGGAGGACAGGCTCCGGACGCACAGGCCCAGCGGCCACGGCCCACAGGCCCAGCCGCTCCGCAGCACGCGGGATCCTCCCGGACCGGGGCACGAACCCGCGCCCCCTGCATCGGCAGGCGGACTCCCAACCACTGCGCCACCAGGGAAGCCCGGACTGACACATTTTTTACCCCAGACCTTGGCAATCTATTAAAACGGTGCAATTCAAACACAAAGACCACTAAACATTCTGGGCTCAGGTGGTGAAGCCTGGCATTGGCCCAGAATAATGGTTCTGGGGCATGGAGGGGCAAAGCTTCCATTTGGGGGAATTTTTTAAATGCATGTTTATGTATTTGTGTGTGTTAGGGGAGGATTCTGGTTTTCCTAGGGATACTGGTCCTCGTGCACGATACGGGCAGTCCCACCCATGTCCCATACATCCTTCAAATGTTATGTAGCAGAGAACCCTGTTTATAATGATCCCAATCTAGAAACCTAACTCTGTTTTATATATGAGCACAATATTTTAAATAAATACTGAGTCTTCCAGAAGTGTAATTCCCTTGCAAATAGAGGAAAGATTACTTTGTTTAATTTGGAACTTTAGCAGGATTTGCTCACCTGCTGGGAAAATAAAGTCACTGGCAGCAATACTGCTTAGTTTTCATGTCTGCATGAAAACACACGTGCATTGGTTTTCATTTGGAGCTATTACTACTTCATTGGGCTGTGCCCAAGTATTTCTATATTGAAATCTGTGTTATTTTATTATAAATTATTTTCTTTCTATTCCTCCTTTATATTATTGTATATTGATCCTTTAAGAATTATGTTAACTAGATAGTTTTATGTGTACATTTCATTTCAGGGTGGTAAAGGGGCATTACAAAATATTTGTTATAGGAAGGAGGGTTTGGGTCTGATTGGGCTGTTGACACTGGCTGACCTCCTTGTGGACAGCACTGCTCTCTGACTAAAGGGAGCCCAGTGCCTGGGAATATAGTGCCTGATTACGAAAGGCTATATTGGCTCTGAAACACATGTATAAGATATGTTTCCTAACTCAACATCCAGGGAATGCGCATCTGTGCTTCTGATTATCTGGGAAGGCAAGATAATCTTTGATCTACTAAAGAAGCTTCTGGGAAAGGATTTTGAGCCCTGGTGGGTGGTATATGCTCTATTCCCAGGTCTGCCTGCAGTGTTGTTTTGTGACTATGTTCTGCTCGCTGAGTCACACTGTTTGTGGTCTGTTTGGCATTTTGCAGCTGCATTTTAGAAAGGTGAGCTGGACGGTTCTGGTGATTTGATATACTAGAAGAGCTAACATGAGAGCTATGCTCCCAGAGCTCCCAAGAGCTGCAAGAAGGGTAGGGAGGGGTAGTATTTGAGCTAAATAAAAAGGAAATGGTACAAATCCCTTTCCTTCTTGCATAACCTCATTCATTCATTCAACTAATATTAATTAAGCACCTAGTGTGCGTGGACCCCCTAAGGCCTTGGTGATAATAATGTAAGGAACACAAAAGCAAAAGTCATTGCTCTCATGGGTTTCTTATGCCAGCAGGGGAGACAGACAATAAGCAGATCAATATCTATCCTATACTGTCAGGTAGAAGTAGAAATATGAAGAAAAATAAGGTAGGGTAAAGATTACAGGAGAGCTATTTAAGACTTATCAAGGAGGTCTTTCTGAAGAGGTGGTATTGTTGGAAAACAAGATGATGTGAGGGATAAGCCATGCCACCATCTGAAGGCAGAACATTACAGGTGGGGGAGACAGTGCAAGGTATGAACAAGTTGACATTTTGAAGAAATAGCAAGAAAACCGTTATGACTGTTACAGAATAGGAAAGGGGAAGAGCAGGGGAATGGGGCTGGAGACTTGGCTGGGGGATAGATCACAGAGGCCATGTAAGACATGGGAAAAAGTAGGACTTTATTCCAATGTAATGGGAAGCTATATGTGGGTTTGCAGGGTAGTGATAGTGTCTGATTTACATTTTTAAAAAGATCACATTGGCTGCTTTGCAGGGAAGGAATAAGAGAAGATCAGCTGCAGTGTTCCAGGGAGAAGTTGGTGGGAGCTTAGACCAAAAAAATAATTGCATAGATGCTGAGAAATGGTTGGATTCGAGATCTCTTTTGTAGGTAAAGCCTCTAGGCCTTACTGATGGACTAGGTATGTGAAGTGGGAGAGAAATAGAATCATGACAGACAGATGATTCTTAGGTTTTTGGTGTGGACACTGGGTGAAAGATGCTGTCATTTACTGAACTGGGGGCAATAGGAGGAAGAGTTATCTTGCAGGAGGTAGGAGAGCGTGAGACTTCTGGGTTTTCATGTCGAGTATGATAAGCTTATTAGAAATTATACACAGAGATTTCAAGTAGAAATCATAGATATAATTTCCAAGCAAAGGAAGTGTTCCAAAGAAGGACGAATCAAATGTTGCTTAGAAGTCAAGTAAGGTAAAGATTGAGAATTGATACTTGGCATTTTGTTGGTTGTGGTGACCTTGATAAGGATGCCTTTACTAGAGTAATAGGAAAGAAAGCTAACAGAAATAGACTCCAGAGAATGAGAGGTGAAAAGTGGAGGAGTTCTGCTAGAAAAGAGAGTGTTAAAGAGGGTCTGTTATGGGAGAGTTTATTGAGGGAGCTATTACAGTATGCTTGTGTGCATACGATCCAGGCAAGGGAGACATCTGTGGGGGTGAGGAGATGACTGGAGAAGCAAATCTTGAGTTGGCAGGAAGGAATGGGATACAGGGCTCAAGTGAGCATTTTGGATTTAGAAAGAAGCAGAGACAGTTTATCCATGGTAATAGGAGAAAAGACAGATAGAGATGCAGGTAGGTCCATGGATGTGAAGGCAGGAGAATGAGGAAGTTCTATTCTGATAGAGTATTTTCTCAGTGAAATAAGAATCAGGGTCATTAACTGAGAGGGTGGAAGGGGGAGAACATTTTGAAGGTTTGAGAATAACAAAGAACGTACACCAATCTGACATATATTAGGTACTCTAGAAATACCTTTTTTTTTTTCTTTCCTGAGATGAGGTGACTTTATGGGTGTTAAGAGTAGAGAGAAAGGAAAAGGAAAGGGAAGACGACAGTAGGGTGGAGAGAAGATAAGGCATCCATTAAGGAAGGATTTATAGTGACCTTGACATTAACTATCCAGAAGAAATGGAATGCCACTTTTATCTTCCTCTGGTTGATGGACTTCAGCCCTGGGGAGAGTGTGCCTTCAGGAAAGCAACTGGGTCAACGGGATGATGGTGAGCATCAGCTTCAGCCAGTTATGTCCTAATTGATTTTCTCCACATTACGCACCCCAGGGCTGTGGTGGACAACAATATTCATAAAGAGAGTGATTAGAAACCAAAT